TAATGAGAGAAAATTACGCCATGTCCTTCACGATAATCTAACAAGTTAATCCATATCCACTTTTTAGGCCTTGATTTTAAGAGCTGACATCCTGATTTGGAATATCAGACGATCGTCCGATAGGTTTGGGCTATGTAATCGGATAAAATTCTGTGGCCCCCACGTAGTTAATATTGTGTTCATTGAGGGAATCAAAGGATTTTTAGAAGATTAATCACTCAATTAAAATTAATTATTATAAAATAAAAATGTATTAATTAATTTGGTAATTTTAGCCAACCTTAAAATAATGCCACATGTGCGGCCAATGTGGATCCCACATACAGCGAACACCAACCTCGTTCATATCGGATATTTTCACATTCCTGTTTTGCCCTTCGGATGCCCCAAATCACAACCTAAATTTTGGAAAAAGGATAATAACTCAGAAGCCATTGTTGAATTTTCTTAAAGAACTTATTAATATTTTCTTCATAACTTAATGAAAAATTAGTAAAACGTGAAAATTAAAAAGAATAGTTTGTGAAAACTGTTACTAGACGGAGGGCTCGGAGCTTAAGTCTAACCTCGTACAGTTTTAAGTTATTAAAATAAAATTTAGACAAATTTATAAATCAGAGATTCATGTTTCAACTCAGAAGATATAAGTGGTGAAAGGCTCAAATTTGTATATCTATGACTCATCCTATCTCTTATTGATGTAGGATCTAGGCACTTTACTCGTAAAAGCAAGGCACTCTCACACTAGTTGTTTTGACTCTTATATCTCTCATGGGTTAATGTAGGGTTCTAGACACTTTACTCGTAAAGGAAAAGCACTCTTACATTAATTGTTTTGACTTTTGTATCTCTTATAAATATTTAAATCTATTTTAATACCAAATGTTACGGATCAAAACTTAAACTTAATCTCGTACGGTTTTAAATTTTAAAAATAAAATTTAAGTAAGTCTATAGCTCACGAGCTCACGTTCTCAACCCCAAATATATAGTTGATAAATGATAAAAGATCTATATTTATATACCTAAGACTTATCCCATCTCTTATTGGTGTGAGTTTGTACATTTTATTCCACCTAATTGTACAACGTTCTCGTTGCACTAACTCTTTATCCATAAAGAAGAGAAACTTTTATATTAGTTTAAGTCTAACTTGACTCTTATTTCTCTCATGGGAGCCCCACATCAGTGAAGTCTCAAGTGTACTCTAATACTAAATGTCACTTATTGAAACTTAAACTCAACCTCGTATAATTTGAAACTCTGAAAATAAAAATTGAGTAAGTCTATAAATTACAGTTCTACTTTTTCAACCAAAAAACATGCTTAATAAATAGTAAAAGGTTCATATTTATATATTTAAAATTTACTTTATTTTTTATTAATGTGAAATCCATGACAGAAACTATATTGACCAACTCCCTTGCTTTTAACAATTATAGTAATTTTTTATATTTTTATTTTATAAATTAAATAATTTTTAATATTATTCACTATTGCTTTTAGTTAGTAACTTTAGGATATATATATTAATGTGAAAAGGACATTTAATTTATAAAGTTTTTTATGATTATATATCAAAATATGAAAAAAGAAATTTTTTTTATCAAGAATGAGAAAGAGATATAGGCTAATAACCTTATATTTACATTTGTTTCTCTCTTTTCTCTTACTAGATACTAAATTAATTTTCCAAAGGCCATTAATTAATTTTACATTTGTTAAAAACTGATATGTTTGGAGATGTTGTACGCACCATCATTACTACATTTGAACATCAACAAGTGGGGATAGTAAAACTTCAATGGAAGAAACCTAAAGCACTTAATTTTATTGAGATCATTGCAGACTTTCAATCTTGCCATTAAGGGCATGGAGGAAACTGATTCCCAATTCAGTAATTTTGGAGAGAAAGCCTTTTTTTAGTGCACTACTCTTTTTTCCACCCTCCCATTTGTCACCATTGCTTTACTTTGCATTTTGCAATGATTACATTAACAATAATAATTAAATCACCATTTTAGTTCAAAGTTGATGTGGGGTAATTTTGAGTGACCTATTCATCAAAGAAAGTAAAACCAAAAATTTAGAAAAAAGAAATAAAGTGTTGGGTAAAACTTCTGTGGACTTTTAGTAAATTGCTTTAATGAAATCCCTCTATGTGCCAAAATTTATTATTTAATATTGTTTTTTAATGTTAACTTTAGTTTTCTTTTAACAGTTGAAAACTCCTTTAGGTTAAGCTACCCAGAGGCAGATATGACTCTTATCCCACAATTCAACCACAATTCAATATTTATAGGGGTGAAATTATAAAATTTTTAAAAAATAAAAATAAATTTAAATTTTTTTAAAAAAGAAGAAGAGAAGATTATAAGATTTTAAAATTCGAGAAACAAGGTCCTCTCCTAGCCCCCTCTGTCCGCCTCTGCTGCACTTTCAATAATAAACTGAAACTTTTAATGACAGTTTGTTTGGCATTGTCATTGGAGGTGCATTTGACACTCTTAGAAAACAAAGACTTTTTTCTTGATAGAATACTCCTTCAAAAAAGTTCAAAATTTCATGGGATATGATATTTATTAATTAATTTTCAATGACAGAGCAATCACGGATAAATGAAAATATTTCGTCCATAAATTGTTCATAAAATATTTTGTTTATAGATCCCATAATCACAAGTATCCATATCATTTATATAAATAAAAGTTAATTTGCATTTAAAATTCCAAAACAAAAATGGAAACCTCTCTCACTCTTTTCAAATTGAGAGTTATCATTTTGTACAATTGGTAATTTAATTTTTTTTTTTGCCAGAGTTTGATTTTATTTTTTCCAAAGAAAACTCAAAATATATTTAGAAACAAAAAAACTTTAATTTTGACATGAAGTAACTTTGATGAATCCCACTGGCCGTTTGACTTCACGGCAGCCTCTCAAGGCGGTGGAAAATATTACACCGTGGAGCTTGCCCTTCATAAAGAAGAAAAACATGGGAATTCAGAAAAAACCAAAAAAGAGAAAACGGAGAAGGGGCTTTGACTATGATGAGATCCATATTTTCCTTACAGTTGTCAAATGAACTGCAGGGCGTGTCGCCGATCTGCAATGCAACACCACATGTCAGAAAAAGAAAAAAAAAACTAATCGGAGAGAAAGTCCAAAAATAAAATAGTAATAGTAATAATAATATTATTTTCTTCAATTATTCAACTACTCACATATGGTATATAAACAATAAATAGTGATAACAATTAATTTAGCATTTATTACTCACAAATGGTTTTTAGAATATTATTTTGGTATTTGTTTCGTATTATAAAATAATAAAATTATTCTATCCAACAATTAATCCACAAAGATATATTAATTAAAAAAATCTTTCAATTATTTAAATAAATTTTTATTTTTTATTTTATTCAATCAAATCTTTATATTTTTATTTTAGATCAAATATGTCATTATAACTAATAACTAATTATATGTTTTTAATCAAATTTTTACTTATTATTTTATATCATGCCCCATTAATGTAGTATATTAACATATCATAACAGATAATAATATAATATACCGATATGATATAATGATATAACTATATGATAATTTTATTTACTACATTAATGTCACATGATATAAAAGGACAAGTAACACTTTAATTAATAAAAATTAATCAATGTTAATTATAAAAATTAATTTAATTTAAAATAAAAATATAAAAATTTAATTAACTATAATAAAAAATAAAAAAATTTTAAATAATTCGAGACCCACATACTACAAATTACAAGTATATAAACAATAGGCATGTCAACTTGAGAAAATTTCAACTTTTTTTATTTAAAAAATTGAATTTAAACTCTTTGATTAAAAGTAAGAACATAGCAAGTAATAAAACATTGAAAGTTTGACATTGTTATTTTAATAAAGAAAAACTCACATGGGTGTCGGTAAAAAGTAGGCCACAGTGTGATAGATTGGGGAATGGGGATGCATCACTGTGGCTAATGGGTTACGATACTGTTGATAGCTTGATTTCTCAATATATCCACTTGCAAAGCAAAAGGTTTTAATCAATGCCTACTTATTCTCAAACAAGATGGATACCAAACTCATCAAAAACTTGTCAAGTTAAGTAATGCATGTATTACTAAAATTTAAATATAAAAGATAGCATATATCTACACTTATATTTGAACCTAACTTAGGCTCTCTTCTTATCTTTAAACTGTTCATCAACTTATCTTTAAGGATCTCCTAATTACCATATACTGTCTAAGTATACGAATAATACTTAATTATGACATCTAAAAATTCATTGCTATTGTTTTTATTTATTTGGGAAACAAAATTTTGGACTCTTGCTTTTTGAATCTAATCATTGAATTAAATATTCTAATGCTTAACAATAAAAAAATTATGAATAAGCCAAATTAAGAATAAGAAGTTACAAGTGAATAAGCAAGTACCAAAATTAAGTGATTTTGTACTTGAAAATAATGTCATAGGACATCATCTGCCCAACATATATGTGTGTGTCGAGATGTTTATTAGAGTTAAAAAGAGGGGTACAAACAAAAATGTTATTTACATACTCATTTACAGAATACAAACGATTAATCACGTGTAGGAATACGAGAGATAGATACTATTCAAGACTTTGCCTCATGCCATGAACACCTTTTTACTTATTTATGTTTCTCATATCATAAGTTATATGATTTTGGATTATATAATAACAGAGATTATCTTATCAAGTAAATTATATTTACTTTTAATATTCAAATTCGATATTTATAAGTTAAGAGCTGGTAAATTCCACATTAATGAACAAATTAAAATAATGTTTTTACCTAACCTCAAAAAAAAAAAAAAAAACCAAAATCTCTGATTCGAAACGGATAATGGCAGCTCTGTAATATCATTAATTAAAAAAGGTCAAACCGGACTTAAAAAACAAAACAGAGAAATCCACGTGTTTTTTATACACAGTCCTTCTCTCCGTCTTCTCCTTCTTCCCTTCAAACCCGCCTTCTCTCCCCTTTATTTCTCCCCCACGATCTCTGTCGTCGTAAAATCCTGTATTCTCAGGCCAAAACTCCGTCGTTTTAACCGACCTAAAAGAAGAAAAAAGTGTTGTACTTTGTCCTTTTTATTAAGGATGGACGAAAATTCAGCTATGATTGAGCAAATTCTCAGAGAAGTCGAAAACAATAACATCAAAAACGACGAAGTTAACGGCTGGCAAACGGTTTCCTATTCGAAACGGAATCGGAAATCTTCGAAACCTCCGCCGCCGGAGACTTTTTCTGTTGATCTTCCCAATGGCGGCGTCTCCTCCGACGTCTTCCACTCGATCGAGAAACATTCCGAGGATCGCCGTCGTCGCGCTGCTGAGGCTGCGGCTGCGGCTGCTGCAGTAGCGGCGGTTTCTACAGCTGTCACCAACGGATCGAAGTCTGACGAGGAAGATGATAGTGATACCGGTGATGCAGGCGAGAACGGTGCGGTGGAGATTAAGAAGGTGAAGCCGAAGAAACCGAAGAAGCCGAAGGTGACTGTAGCGGAAGCTGCTTCGAAGATCGACGCTGGTGATCTTAGCGCTTTTCTTATTGATATAACTGTGAGTAATATTTAAATTTTTTAAAAAATCTTAGTTTGCATCCTTTTTTGTTATAATTTTGAGTAATCTGAATCTAATTCTTAATTTTCTTTTTTTTTTAACTTTTTTTCAATTATTAAAAAATTTCAAATTTTTAGAGTTCTTATGAGACGCAGCAAGAAATACAATTAATGAGATTTGCAGATTACTTTGGAAGGGCATTTGCTTCAGTGAGTGCAGCGCAATTCCCTTGGTTAAAGATTTTCAAAGAATCTACCGTTTCGAAATTGGTTGATGTAAGTTTTCTCTTTGAATTTTTAAAGTTTTTGATATGTTCGAAAGAAGTCATGATTTGTTTAATTCTTCTGTCTTCAGTTCAGGGCATGCATCGATGCAATTTTGTTAGATTGATGTCGGAATTTTTATTTTTATTTTGTTTTGAATAGATTCCGCTTTCGAATGTTCCGGAAGATGTTTATAGGACATCGGTTGATTGGTTGAACCGGCGATCTGTAGATGCGTTAGTATCTTTTGCTTTATGGTCACTGGACAGCATTCTGGCTGACCTTACAATTCATCAAGGAGTTGCAAAGGGATCAAAGAAAGTAGCTCAGCAAGCACCTTCAAAGTCTCAAGTAATTGTCGATCTTATTTCTTTGTATAATCTTGGAAAATATTCGTGTTGAATTATAAAGAATGGTATAAAATGGAAGGAGATGCGTTTAGTGGGAACGAATGGAAGTGATCATGTGTATGAGTATCAAGCATAGAATTTCCAGGCTTGGGTATCATTTCTTGCATGCCAATAGTTGGTCATATGCTACTGATTGTTCAAATGTGTGATAGAGAGGAATTTAAGATTGAGATCCATTCTCCTGCTATTCCTTTCATGCATTTAATTTGTTTTATGGCTGAAACTTTGTACATGTTAGAGTTAGACTATCACTGTTGAAGTAGATGGAAGACTTTGGGTTATGCGGGGGTTCATCACATAGTTAGATAATTTTCTTCCTTAAGATATGTGTTGTGTACATTTCTTTTGCTTATTACAATAATTTTTGGTTAAAGATTAGTGGATGCCATTTCTATTTTGCGACTGACAATGTTCATGAATTTGATAGGATGAGATGCCTTGT